GCGGGCACTGTCTGGCCATACCGCTCGGGAAACGATATACTACAACATGGCTCTACAGTCGAAATGGATGGTAAGCATGGGTAACTTCTCAAGGGTACCCTTGCGTCCGTGCCTCTTTGGTCCATCCTTGATTGCTTGCCATGACCTGCCGCGCTCGGAAGCAAACTCCAGCACGGGCGTCCAAGGATCTTACTTCATTATCGCGCATCTTTAGTGTCAGTTTTGTTACGTGTACCATCAGTTCGGGTCAACACACACGCTTTCAGGGAGGACACATCGTTTACCAGTATGCCTGCTGTAAGCCACTCCCGCGCAGGTCCGCCGCTCCCTCGTGCCGCGATGTCCAGCTCCTTCCGCAGCTCGCAGGGTTCGTTTCGATCCCTACGATTCCGTTCGACTTCGATGTCGATGGCTTCCGATACCTATCCGCTTCGGTTTCGGATTCCGACTCCGATTTCTAAGTGGAGATCGCTAGCCTGCCGATTTCCGCCGATTCGACTTATCCCGACTCGGCTGCCGATTTCCGCAGATCCGATTCATTATTATCGCCGATCCGACGTGTCGGTTCGATTCTGGGCTTGCCTGCGCTCGCGTGTCCCCAGCCTCGTTTGACGGTACACGGCAGTCGTTGAAAGCAGGTATCTTTGGATCCTTAGGTCCCAACCTATTGAAGGCGCCTGCCTACTTCAAGTGTCGAACGGTTGTCCCGCTTCCCTCCTCTTCAGGGGGCGGGCCGAAGCCGGATCTATTTCCAATGCCTTCTTACTTCTACCTACTTCTTCCGGCCGACGGTCACTGCAGCTCGCTTGGTTCGTCTGGGCAGTTCTGCCCTCCAGGGCTGCCAGGGGGTCCGTCCGCGACGGCCTTTCTCCTGGTAATTTGCAGCTGCGCCCGTTCCCTGCCTCCCCTTTTGCGGGCGGCCGTGCCAGGCTGTTTCGCGGTACACGCCGGTCGTTCAAAGGAGGTATTTTTGCATTCCCAGATTCCAATCAATTTCAAGCGTCCTCCTATTTCAATAATCGATATGATTTTGTTGTGTGTTGTTATCATTTGGGAGTTCTTGAACCCAAGCTACATTATCCGCCTTACTGCTTCATGTTTTCACATACTCCTATCGGCCGGCGTGTATGATTCGATCATCATATCGCCTGGTTTTCTGCGCGCGCGAGCATTCGAGCATTCACAGGTCACGCGATCTGCGGTGCTCAGTGGCCCGATGGTGCTCGCGGGCACCGCGGCACTCACGAGCACCTCGGTACCCCGCAAGCGCGGTGGTTCGCCGCCCCTGGAGTTCTCGACGCCATCCTTTGGACTGGTTTCTCATTCTGAGTCATTGTTCGAGGGCTTTGGTATATACAGCCTATCCTCGAACCTCGATCCTTCCCAGACCCCGACATCGTGATCGTTGTATACAGTTGATTCATTCAGGTCTCGACACCCTCCCCAGGATTGGCTTCTCATCCCAAGCCGGTTTTGATAGCCCTGGGGCCACTAAGGGCCACCGGACGCAGTGAGCGGCACAGCAGAGCTCGTCGTGGTTTTTGTCACAACGCGAGGGGGTTTGGGGAGCCTCCTTCTCCAGACCCTCGTGCGGATTATGTGCGAGGCGAGGGCATCGAACACAGGATTATTTTTTCTCGAGCGGGGCCAGGCCGAGGATGAAAAACGTTCCACCGGAACGCTCTCCGAGCGTTCCGGAACGCGCTGAGAAGGCCGCGGCGCCCGATACATCTTCCAGAGCCGCTGGACCTCAGAGATTCTCAACGTATCCCCACCCGATGTTTTGTCATAGTCCGGCTTCGTCTTACCATGATTCTCTTTTGACGCGAGCCAGTATCGCGCAGGGGAGGGGAGGGGGAGGGGGCAAGGCTTCTTAGAAGCACCCTTGCTTCTCAGAAGGCGTGGGCCATGTCTATAGATGCAGTGGCTGGCGCCTTCTAAGAAGCTGAGAAGTTTCCCCCCTTCTCCTACCCCCTCATGCGTGCCGCGAGGTCCTTGCGCTCTGTTGTGGTTGTGAAGGCCTCACGGCCGGTGCCACCGACCTGGAGGGAGGACGACGACGACGACGAAGTGAGGGCCCTGCCACAGGCTCGGGACACGTGCGCGCCGCCAAACCATGATTCTCCAAGGGCTCCCCCGAGGGCGCGAAGTTATTCGCGCTTCGCGCTTCGCGGTCCTCGTTCCTCCTCCCCCTCCTCCTCGTCCTCCTATTCTCCTTCTGGGGGGGGCGGCGCGAGAGCGCGAAGTTATTCGCGCCTCGCGCTTCGCGGAGCGCGAGAGCGCGAAGTTGGGAGCCCTTGATCCTCCCTCGGCGCGAGGGGTCCCGGGCGACTCCCCGCGCTCCCCCCCTCCCAGCGTGCGGGGGCAGGCCGCCGGCCGCCCCGCACCGGTAGCCTCCAGAGCTTCAGCGGCGCCCCCGCGGCAGCGGTGGCCGGAGTCCTGGCCACCCTCCTCGGGGGGCGACGACGACGACGACGACGACATTACGGCCACGCCCACGACCACGACCACGACCACGACCACTACTACGACCATGACGACGAGGACGACCACGGTCACGACCACGACCACGACCACGACCACGACCACAGCCACGACCACGACCACGACCACGACGACGAGGACGACGGCGGCGGCGGAGAGTGGCGGGGGGGCGGGAGAAGAGGCTAAGTTCGGAGAAGGAAAAGGTACCGATACTGCTACCCTGTCCTCAATTTCTCCTGTGAGGACATCCTGGAAGGCCCTCGTCGCCACGGCTGGATTCGCATCGAAATCCTGGTTAGGACGCACCCCGAGAGAAGTCCGCGGTGTAGCGGTATCGATTTTTGTCGGTTTGGGGGTTTGCCGCCGCGGTCGCCGCGGTCGCCGCCGCCGTAACCGCCGTCGCCGCCGCCGGGTGGGGGGAAGAGGCTAAGTCCAGACGGAGTTAGCCCACACGGAGAACGAGCACTCCGTATGGAAATGCTCCGTATGGACTTAGCCTCTCTTGAGGTGGGGGGCCTGCCGCCGCGCTCGCCGCCGCCACCGTCACCGCTGTCGCCGCCGCTGCCGTCGTCGTCGCCATGGCCACCGCCATCTAGCCGTCGTCACCGAGGTCGTCGCCGCCGCCGCCGCCGTCGTGGCAGTGGCTGTGACCTGTGGCCACCGCCGTGGCCGTGGCCGTCGTCGTCGTGGTCGCTTTGTGGCGATTGGCCTCACGGCGTCGTGCCGAGATCACGAGTGAGTGTCTCAGCCCAGTTCCAGGCCCCGGGGACCCTGTCGGATCGATACAGCTCGAGACATCCTGTGTCAAGATGCGGTCGAGGATTCTGGTTCTGACTTGCTTTTTTGGTGGGCGTCGTGACTTTATTTTACGGCGTCGAGTGGGTGGGTGGTGGCAGCAGAAGGATGCCTGGAAAATGTGCCCCGCCAGGCCTTCAAGATCGTCCCACGAGGCCTTCAAAATTGCCCTTCCTCCTGACCCCGACCCCCAGAAGGATACCTTTTTGCTGATGCTCAGCTCTCCCTCATCATGCTCAGCCCCCCAGGAAGAGGGTGAGGGTCAGGAGGGTGGGGGAACAGGAGGCGTGGTGGAGGAGGGCGGATGTGGAGGAGACTGAGGCGGACGGCAGCAGGAGTTCCTTTTCTGCCGCTCGTGCTCTTCCCCTCTTCGTCTCCGCCTCGGTCTCTCTCAGGACTTCGACCTGGCCTCGTGATGTTTCACCACGTAGACCCCTGAGGGTCTCGAGCCCTGCTTTGCTGCTGGCTTTTCATGCCGAGCTGTCTTCAGACGGTGACGGTCTTTGTGCCTTCGAAGGTCCACCAGGGGCAAAACACGTGCAAACACATTCCGTTGTTTTGTTCACGACGCGAGTTGGCATAATGGTCCTTTTCGTTATCCTGCTCCTTCCTATAATTTCCGAAGGGCCCAAGGAGCCTTTTTTTCGCACCGGATCCACTTCAAATGGCCGCTGGGGCCAACACGGGCCCTACTGAGGCCTACAGGAAGAAACAACACGCCACGACTGAAGAAAGCAGTCCGCCCGAAGTATTGGCGCCCCAGACATCCGATGCACTGATCTTTGTTTAGCGCGGGCCCCCCTGAAGTCCCGCTCCTTTTTTGCAGCAGCAGCGATAGCGACCGAACCCATTCGATGAGCGAGTGGCCGAAGTAGAATATACAATTCACATGATTCACATTGGCTGGCACTCAGAGGGAGCCGTCGGCTGTGGCGGCGGCGGCTGCACGACCGACGTCGCAGCCATGCCGACGATGACCTGCCCCAGCTCCTCGAGCGCCACTGCCAACCTGCCAGAATCTCCGCCACGGGCACTTCTCCCCGGCTCGGTTCCTCATCTTGAACCGTTTGTCGACGGTCCTGGGGCCCGGAGCGGCCTTTGGAGATCGAAAGCACGAGCCCTCTCGCGCACCGAGGCCAGGGCGTGGAGACCCGCAAGAGGCCCCCGGGAAGCTGCCAGAGGCTGCCGAAGAGTCCGTAGCCAATTTGGCTCAAGTCCGCAGTGTTTTGGCACGGGACCTGGCCTCGCTGGCGTCGGGGAACTCGCGGCCCCCGAAAGTGTTTGACAACACGTTGCCTGGTCACACGAGGTGCTTCAGCATTACTGTGGGCTCTTGGTGGAACATCCCTTTCCTTCAGCGGGTCCTTCGCCGATGGCATATGCTCCTGTTGACACGTGGCGCCAGAATGCGCCTTGGACGAGACAGCAGCAATCATGGGGACCGCAGTATCCGCAGCGAGGAGTATTTGTTCAGTCACCTTTCGCCCTCGCGAGCCCGTCCTCCTGGCACACCGCCTTCGCTCCCCCTCATCGCCAACGCCTTGGAGGACTAGCGCGGGAAGAATAATTGCAGATTGCATGTGGGCGTGCACCTTTTGTTGACGCAAGAAGAACGGCCTGCAGTCGTCCGTATGAAGGCACAGTGGTAGGGATCGTGTCGGCCCTGGGTTTCTGCCGCTGGCCCTGCGTCAAGGTGTGTGGAGTTATCCGCAAGATGGCGCTGGTGCTCACGCTCACGGTCATGCCCACGGGTGTGGTGTCTACGGCGGTCTCACCTCCTTGCGGCGGCGTGTCCACGGAAGGCCAGAGTGCAGGTACAGTGTATACCGAGGAGTTCGGGGGTGTTTCTTCCATGCTCTGCAACCTCGAGGACGTCACTGGTGCAGCTTGGTATCAGGCCGTCCTTGACAAGAAGAAGGCAGCGCCGCGAGAGTTTTCCCGCCAGCAGCGTATCATGACAGCGTCCCACAGTATCCCTGTCAGTCGAGGCGAAGTCGACCAAAACAGCCAAGTACTACGAGGACATATCCCTTCGTCTCGCCGAGCAGTTATTCTCAGACGACGGCACCGACTTGGAGCGTTCGGCCGAGGACAGAAAGGCGGAGGCACTGGTGGAATCGCCCAAACATGTTCCCAAAAAGGCCACAACGTCTTTGCTCAAGCAAGCTTTGGAGCAGGCGGGCAAGGAACAAGTTGACCACGCTGCCCTGCTCGAGCGGCTCAAAGCGAAGCGTCGGCGAGTCGGCCCCCCTGCTGACGGCGCAGCGTCAGTTGCTGGCGGGGATGGCGCAGGACCCACTGCCGCAGCTTACGCCGCCCCCGAGCCAGGCCAGCAGGCAGCCGCGAGCGCGGCGCCAGCGGCTGGGGCCTGCGTCGGCACCGCGCCAAAACATCGAGCAGGCGAGGAAGTGCGGAGCAAGGGCTCCCGCATCGCCAACCAGGGGGGGGCCGCCGGCATAATCTCTTACAGTGGAGGAGGCCCCCCCCGAAACTCTTTCGCATGCTTCCGAGGTCAGTTTCTCTTGGAGGGCTTCGAACCTGGTGAAGACCACCGCTCTTGCCGGCATTAGAACCGTTCCCCATCTGAAGGTATCCGTGGAGTCGCGGGATCTCCGGGGGCCGATCTGGCGGCCTCGGCCCCGGCGGGCTCACCGCCGAGGGTGGGTTTGTTTGTTTTCTTCTCCCGCGAATGTTTCAGGCTGGGGGTCGGCCCGAAGCCGGCCAGAGCAGACTAGGGTTCGCGCGGCGTGCCTTCATTACTGCACCGCCGTAGGAGCCAGGGTGACTCATTCATTAGACCAGGTTTTGGCATGGGCCCCTCGACGAGGATGGAAGTCTCTTTGGGTCCCCACACTTCCCAGGATGATCCTCGGGCGCGCGCGGCGGCGCGGCTATCTTCGCTCGCGCCTTTCTGGGGGGCAAAATCCGCTCCTTCGATCTTCTCTCATTACAGGGCGCGCTGTAGGAGGTGTCGTTCAGATTCCAAGAGGCTTTAGCGTGCGTGGCGGTGGCCGGCGTTTATGTACTTCATGGCGCTGGTTCTGGTGATCCAAAAATGTTAGTGATGGGGCAAGTCGGGGATGTCGATGCGTCTTTTGGATTGCCGCGGCGCGCGGGCGGCGATTGAAACTTGGGGCCCGATGCATTTCCCCGGCTCTCTTTCCTTGATGGCGCCCAGGGCGAGTTGCCGCCGCCGCCCCGCCCCGCCAGTTGCTCGACCGGCGGGGCCTCGAGGATGTTTGTTGGTTATATTGTTAGCTGCGGCCTTTTCTGCGGAATGATTATGAATTCAATAGCCAGATCGCCCGCCCTCGAAGGGGTGGCTGACCTCGCTCAGGAGGGGGAAAAACACGCAGACACAATTAATCGGCGATTCCCAGAAAATATGGGAACATATGGGAAGTGGGGGGGGAGACAAAAACCCAGAAAAGATAGGAAAATATAGGGGGATGTTTTTATTTGTGTGCATTTATTTGCGCGCCCCAGTTTCCCTTCACTCGCGCCCCGCGCCCCTGCGGGGCCCATCCCTTTTCCCAAGGCTCGCTCTCTTCGAGGCCGCGGTTCTTCGAGAGCCCGGGCCCCCGCGGGCCGGCCGGCCCGGCGCCCCTCGCGCGCCCCTTGCGCGCGCCGAGCTGGGCGAGGCTATCGGAGCTGCTGGGGCGGGGGTGGGCGTCGCCGCTCAGGGAAGACTGGGCGGGGCTTGCCCATTATTGTCAGGAGGGGAAAAAACACACAGACACAATTCATCGTCGATTCCCCAGAAAATATGGGAAAATATGGGAAGTGGGGGGGAAGCCAAAAACCCAGAACATATGGGAAAATATGGGGGGTATTTTTATTTGTGTGTATTTATTTGTGTGTCCCAGGGCCCCTTCACACTCAGGGAAGACTGGGCGGGGCTTGCCCACTATTGGCTGGCGCGGCTGCGATGGTCCTCTGCAAATCGCTTCGGCGCCGTTCCGCCCGAGATCGCCCTTGGCGGGCTCGCGCCAGAAACCGTTTGGAAGAGCCTCGTGGGCGCCGACGCCAAGAGGCGCGAGCGCTTCGATTTGCGCGCGTTTCGATGGCCCGTCTAAGCTCGTGCGCTTTCGCGGCTTGCGCCGGAGACTCTGGCCATGGAGGCGGCGGCCTTCGAGGCCTCTCGCGCAGTTCTTTTTCTCGGGCGCCGTCGCGGGTTGGCTGGCCGGGAATGCCGAGCGGCGCTCTGCGCTGAATTGTTCGAACAGGCGAGCAGCGTTGCCTGCAGTTAGCAGACGCAGCTGGCAGCTCAGGCGCGTCTTCCCATGGTCGCGGCTGCCGCGGAGTCGGCGGTGGTCAAGGCCAGAGCGAGAGCGCGGGCTGCCTGGGCCGAGTGGCCCAAGGCGGGCAGCGAAGGGGGGCCGAGTGGTGCGTCGGGTTACTTCGCCCCCTCGTGTCTGGTCATTTCGGCCAATGCCACTGCCGCTGCCGTTTGGGCTAATGACCAGAATTATGCCGGCGACCCCCCCTCTCTATCTTGGCCGCGGAGACGGCCGAGTTCAAGGCCCTGTGGCAGGCCGCAGTCGATCCCTCTCCGCCCCCGCTGGATTTTAGACCCAGCCCGCAGTTGGATCTCTCCAGCGTTGACGCGTGCCGAGACGCGAGTGACGCGAGTAGGGGCAGGTGTGCTGTGAGCGCCGATGGGTTTCGCATGCAGCAGCTCGGTTGGCTCTCGGACGAGACCCCCGCCTCAAGTGCGCATCCTTGTTTCGATGCTTCTGCCCGGTCCTTTGGGGGGATTCAGACCCGCCTGAGTTTCCTGTGGCCCCCGCTGCCATCGGGGGCACGTCAATGGACTGCTGGCGGTCGCCTGGGGGCAGGCCCGCCAGAGGCCGCGGTTCGCGGGCGGGATGTGCGCGGGCGCATCCGACAGCTCGCCGCACCTGTTGCGCCCACTGCGCGGTGCGTGGGTCGTCTGACGCCAGTTTCAAGGTGAACCTGTACTCTTGTGCCTTCGAGCTGCAGGTGGGTCGCAACCGTCGCGCAGGGCATCCCAAGATGCATATCCACAAGCAGCGGTGCCAGACCGAAGGCAGCGTCTACGTTAACGCGCATTGGGTCCCTCCACTGCGACGAAGAGGGAGATCTGGGGCATACTACAGGCGAAGGAGCAAGTGTTTGGATGGTACAGGGTCTGGAATCGCACGGAAAGGATGCATTTCGCGGTATAGGCCATCCCGACAGCGTTTCTGAGTGCGCGCGTAGTCAGGCGAGGCGATCGAGGATTCCGACATTCCGATTACCGACGTCAAGATGGTTCCCAAGGACGAGAGATGGGTTCCTCAGTGGACCCAGGGGCTCAGCGAGGCAGATGGCTTCCTTGGGCGCACTGGCAAATCGTGCGACCCACGCGGAATCGAGCCACAGAGTTTCATGGATCAGATGGGGCGGGCGACGGACGCGGCGACGTCGGAGGAATGGGCCTTGGGTCGGGCAATTCAGTCAATAATCTCTCCTAGAGATACTCTCAAGTCCTGCGTGTTCGTGGAGCAGCTGCGCGTCGTTGAGGCTCTGGTAGTGCGTGGAATGGCTAGGCGAGGCGAGGCGGCGTTTCGGCTGCAAGAAATGTAGGAGCTGTGGCTGTTGAGCCCCTGTTACTCCATCCTCCTCTTGCGCCTCTCTCACTCCCTTGTGCGCCGCCATATCGGCTCACAAGGGCCCTTGAGCTATCATGGCGCGCCGGTGACGGACGTGCCCACGCCCCCGTGAAATGAAGGAGAACGTGCTCTCTTCTAGCACGGCCCCCCCTATTTGTACTTCGTATCCCTCTGTGCCCATGCAGTCACTCCCGCACAATCCACGCAACGTTGGATCACAGAAAGAGGGCGCCCGACAATCGCATTGCCTCTCCTGGGGCCCCTAAACTGGCCGTCTTGGAGTCCTCCCGGGCTTCTCTCGGGCCTTCTTGGAGAAATCTTAAATCTTCGGAGGGCCGTCGAAAGCGGAAAAGGCGAGTATGCAAAACACATTGATGTTCCCCGGGCGTCTGAAGGCTCCGTGGCCACTTGGGAGGCTCCGTGGCCACTTGGGAGGCTCCGTGGCCACTTGGGGCCGTCCTGGGGCGGTCTAGGGGCCTCTAGGGGTCTCTTCGGGCATGTTGGAAGCCAGTTTGAGAAATATCAATCCACGTTGGAGGTCATCTTTGGCTTTCTGGGGCCCTCTTGAGGCCATCTTGGGCCATCTTGGACGCCCCATTCGGCCGCGAGGCCCCCCGTGCAGGTTCAGGGAGGGGGGTACACTGTCCGCCCCGCTCGCAAGCGGTCTCGCTCATCCCCACCTGCTCTCCCAACACATACGTAGCACCCGAGTCCCACCATGTTCAGAGGTCGTCTTTGGATGGGCCGCTGCTGGGAACCAACGCAGGCCCCATGTGTGCGACGCTGGGTCGAGGCGCGTCACGCGTGCCAGGCGCGCGAGGTGTGCCAGGTACCCCTGGGTCCCACGCGTGCAAGGCACGCCTGGTGCGCCAGATGCGCGACGTGCTCCACGTGCGCCATGTGTGCCGCATATTCCACCCGCGCCAGGTGCGCCACGTTCGGGGCACGCGCAGAGTGCGCCAGGTGCGCCCGCGCACGTGGGAGCATTCATCTGTCAACATGTCAGCCGCCCGCACCTATGTCGAAAACCAGTGCGCAGTCGCGGCGGGGTGGCCATCGCAATCACACTGTCTGGTGAGCCTGCGCACAGCAGGCAATGTGCACGCACCCCCGCCGTCCCTGTCGAAAACCAAAGGAAAGCGATCCAGATTTAGCCGCAAAGTGCACCTTGTATTGTTTTTGTGACGGGGATGGTGGCCCTGCGCGCAGCAAGCATGGTGGGGGGCGCCCGCATGGATGCCAGCATGGGCACGGGTTGGCTGCCCAGTCGCTTGGGGGAGGGGGGGACAAGTCCCTCCCCAAAGGGGGAAAAAAGGGAAGGTGGAAGAGGAAACGCGTTAAACTACTCGCGCCCACATTCGGCGCGCTTATTTGGTCAAGACTTACGGGCCCCGCCCGGTCGACCACTTCCCCCCGCTTTTTCACCCGGAACCGTTTTTGCTTGTGACGGCCACGAGGCCCGGTGAGGGCCCCAAGAGGCTGATAAGAGCCCCGAGGGCCAAAGGCGAATTTCTGTGAAAACGTTTGGGTCGAACAAATTGCGAGGCCAGGATCTCAGGGTCTCGTCCCGCCCTCTCTTACCAGCCTGGAACAGATCTCGATCTCTATGATTGGCATCGCCTCATCCCGATGCCAATCTTAAAAACTCTCTCAGTTTCTGAGGGCGCATCCCTAAGATTGTCACTGCTCGTTAACGTGTCATTCTCAGTGCCAGGGACAAGCATGAATTTTCATGCAACCCTGAAGCCAAATGAATTGATGAGTGGTTGGCCTAACGTAGGTTCTCGGTATTTAGGGTGTTCCCATATCAGTTGGGTGGTTCCACTTGAAACAACTGCAAACCAGACCCCCTATCCTTAATGTTTGTGGACCTAACTAATTATCCTCCCTGAGATAAGGATCGCTTCGGGGTCGGAGGGGCTCGCTGTTCCTTGGGTCCTTTTGTGGTTGTTCCTCCAGCCCTCTTCGTGCTTCTTGGTGCCCCTGAGGCCAACAGGGGGCTTCGTTCCTGACTTAGCGTTCCTTCTGGCAGTGCCACGGTCGAACTCGTATTGGTTCTGCGTACCCTGACCTACTCAGATTGCGAAGTAGGAGGAGGGTGGGAGGGGGGGGGAGGAGGAGGAGGAGGAGGAGGAGGAGGAGGAGGAGGAGGAGCGGGGAGGGGCAGGAGGAGAAGAGAGGAGGAACAGCATGGAGGAGGAAGAGGTTGAAGAGAAAGAAGGAGAAGAAGAAGAAGAAGAGGAGGAGGATGAGGAGGAAAGAGGAGGAAGAGACTGGAGCAGGAGGAGGAGGAGGAGGAGGAAGAGCGGGAGAGGAGAGGAGGAGGAGGAGGAGAGGAGGAGGAGGAGGAGGAGGAGGAGGAGGGGAATAGTAGGAGAAAAGAAGAGAAGAGAAGAAAGGGACGAAGAGGATGAAGAGGAGAATGAGGAGGAGGAGGAGAAGGAGGAGGAGGAGGAGGAGGAGCAGGAGGAGCAGGAAAAGGGTGTGCAGGAGGCCGTGGCGGCCCTGACGGCCCTGGAGGCCACGGCGACGGCCGCCGCCGCGCGCCGCCCGGCGGCCGGGAACCGCGCGGTGGCCAGACGAGCCGCGGGCAACGCCGCCGGGGCGGGGCGGGGGCGGGGCCCCAACGACGGAGGAGGAGGAGGAGGAGGAGGAGGAGGAGGAGGAGGAGGAGGAGGAGGAGGAGGAGGAGGACGGGAGGAGTCGTCTCCGTCGTCTCTCGGGGTCAGTGCCTCAATCTCGGCAGGCCGAGCATCAGCTCACGGATGTCGGCGAGCATCCAGTTTGTTATGATCCATCAGGGACCTTGGTCCCTCGGCACCTTGCGTGTCCTGGCCACGAGCATGTTTTACAGGCCGAGACCCCAGCAGTGGCGAGTGCCATGATCAGGAATGCCAGCAACCCCCTCGTCCGTCTGCTCGTGGAGAGGCTGCTGCTGCCGCTGCCTGCCCCTCCGCCTCCTCCTCCGCCCCCGCCCGACGAGGCTTGGCTGAAAGGTCATCCTGGCCTCCTGGACGGGGATAGTTTCTGAGTGGAAGCCTCCTGGATGGAGACCTCCTCCTCGAGGCCCAGAGCAAGGCTAGGCCATCGTTGCCCTTCAGGATGAGCAACCCGTTTCGGCCGCCGTTCTCGCTGGAGGAATACAGCCAGGTGTTCGATGTCGATGCAGTCGAGCTCTTGGCCTGCCTCAGAGCGCTGCGGCACGCCCTGCCCAGTATCACCTTGTGGACAGACTCTCAGTTTGTGTATCATGGATTGAACTGTGCCTCGGCCAATGCGGAGTGGGCCAGCATGTGGCTTCTGGTGTGGGCCGCCATCGAGGAGCGCGGAAAGAGCCCAAGATAATGTGTGTGTGTGTTGTGGAGCCACCGCCTGCGGTCGTGGCCCTTGGGCTCTCGCTGGCCGATATGCTTTTCGCCATTCTCCGCCGCGAAGGGCACGCCTCGCATCAGGCCTGTCCCGTCAAGCTCTCGAATGGTGCGACGGGCATTTTGTGTGTGCGTGCTGCCTGCGGGGCACGTGGTGTCGTTGTTTTGTTTTGTTGTTCTCTCTCTCGCTCTCTCTCTCTCTTTCTCTCTCCCTCTCTCTCAGCTTCAGGAATGCCCGCAGTCTGTGTCCCTCATGCCGGGGAACCCGTGTGTTGAAGGCCCTCCCGCAGGGCAAGTCTCTTCAGGGGAAGTCTTGGGTCTCGCTGTCCGAGCCATGGCGACCTCAGCAGCTTGTCGACAGCGGCCAGGCGCTTCGCCCGCTGTGACTTTTGGGGGGGCCGTCGATGGCCCTTACCAGGGCCGTCCTACTTGGTGAGGTGACGAAAAAGGTCATCTTCGACGGGCCCACAGGCCAAGGTTTTCGGCAGGACTGATGGACATCCCTCCCCTTCTTCTTTTGGTGATTGCGTGGGATAAGGAGGAGGAGAAAAAAGAGGAGGAGGAGGAGGAGGAGGAGGAGGAGGCTACGCGACGGGCGCCTGGCCGGGCGCGAACTGCCGCGCGGGGCCCGCGGGATGCCGAGGGGCCCAGGGAGCGCAATTTCGGGATCGTGGTGGTGCACGGCGAGCTCCCAGGCATCGAGTTTATAGGCCCCGGTTGGCAGACCCCGCCGGCGCCCTTGGGAGTCGCTGCTGTCGTCGACAGCCGGCCACCCCTGGGGGTGCCGCCCGCTTCGCGGGGCGGCGGCGGCGTCTGCCAGCTCCCGTCCACGGAGCGCCCCGGCGCGCGGGAGAGACTGGCGGCCGCTGGGGGGAGGAGGGGGAGGAGGAGGAGGAGGAGGAGGAGGAGGAGGAGGGGAGGAGGAGGAGGAGGAGGAGGAGGAGGAGGAGGAGGAGGAGGAGGAGAGAGGAGGAGGAGGAGGGAGGAGGAGGAGAAAGAGGAGGAGGAGGAGGAGGAGGAGGAGGGAGGAGGAGGAGGAGGGAGGAGGGAGGAGGGAGGAGGGAGGAGGGAGGAGGGAGGAGGAGGAGGGAGGAGGAGGAGGAGGAGCAGCAGCAGCAGCAGCAGCAGGAGCAGGAGCAGCAGCAGCAGGAGCAGGAGGAGGAGTAGCCGGAGGAGGACGAGGAGGACGAGGGGGAGGATGATGAGGAGGGGGAGGAGGAGGAGGAGGAGGAGGAGGAGGAGGAGGAGAGGAGGAGGGCGATGAGGAGTTGGAGGAGGGGAGGAGGAGGAGGATGGGGAGGAGGAGGAGGAGGAGGAGGAGGAGGAGGAGGAGGAGGAGGAGGAGGAAGAGGAGGATGACGAGGAGGAGTAGGATGAGGGGGAGGAGGAGGAGGAGGGGTTGGAAGAGGGGGGGGAGGAGGAGGAGGAGGAGGGGGAGGAGCAGGAGGAGGAGGAGGAGGAGGAAGAAGAAAACGCTGCGGCGCGGGGGGTGTCGTGGCTCAAAAGACCGCGGTCGCCGCAAATGGGGATCAGTCAGAGCCCCTGATTTTGCCGGATCTTGCAGGGCCAGGTTTGCCCTGTGCAGGGCGAGCGTGCAAGATGCTGCAGGGTTTTCGCAGGATCTTGCTGGATTCTCGAAGGCCTGAGTGACCCGGGTTTGGATTGACCCGGGTCATTAGATCCCCGTGGGGGCCGGAAGCGTTGATTCGGGGCGGTCCAAGTTTCTTGGCGGGACTCGTTGAAAACCTTGGCGGTTGTTCCCGCTCATTTTGAACACGGCTCAGTGTCCGCGCTTGGCGGCGGTCAGACGAGCCGCGGGGGCTGCCGCCGGGGCGGCGGGGGGGCCAGGAACTAATTCTAACAGTTCTCGGTCTCTGGGAGCGCTCGCAGGGCCACGGGGCCGTCAACAAAAAGGCCCGGATGAAGGACCGGCCCTGGGGAACCAGTCGGGATTTCCGGCGGGTGGGAGGTCGGGAAATTTGAGCGGGGCGATCGGGTGTTTCGACGGAAGTCATGAACAAAACTCGGCAGCACGCTTTTGGGTATTTTCGAGCTCTGGGGGCCTTGATCTGGGACGATCGGAATTGGTATGGAAAAATGTTACAAAAAATCGACAGCAGTTTCTGTTCACTTTTTGTGTGACTACTTGTCCGCGCCGCCACGAACGTTGCCCCTTGAAAACGTACGGCCGCCCGCCCAACAGCGGCCGAGGTCGGATTTGGGCAGCATTTGTTGTTGGGCACCGTGCATGTTTGTCGTGCCCATTTCGGGCGTCGGGCTTGATCGGGACGGTCGACATGTTTCGACGAGAATCATGCAGCAACACAGCGGTCGGTCGTTCGTTGTCTGCGGACTTTGAAAGCCCTTACCGGGCCTCGGGGCCGTGAAACAACGACTCAGGCTGAAGAGTCGGTCCTGTGGAACGGGTCGAAGTTTTCGGGGGTCGACGTCGTGAGAAAGTCATGACGTCGGGGGGTGTCGGTTCGACTACGAACTATACATGAGAGTAACCTTTTGCCAGGGTGTTTTTCGGGGCGTGCCCACTGGGCCCCGATGGCCAAGAACGATGCGACGGCAACGGCCTGCGCGGTTGGGTCAGGCCTCCTCGCGCCCTTTTTCATCCGTGCACCAGATGTCACTCACTGTTGCCTAGGGGCACTTTTGCGTTTAGCCGAGTCTTGGGCGTCGCATGTCTGGGGAGGTCGGCCACGCGCAGTGCGGGGTAGGGTCAGGAGGAGCCCTTCTTACAGGGAGTCGGCTTGTCAGGAAGGCGCGGGCCTCACCTATAGATGTAAGGCCAGCGCCTTCTAAGAGGCAGCCTCTTTCGAATAACCATTTCCCCCCTCCTTTCACCCCGTTGGGCGCGGAACGTGGAGCGCCACCGTTCGGCCCCCCTCGCTGGAGGAGCTGAATCATCCGTGCCCTCCTTGGTCCCTCCGTCCTTCCATGGAGGGCAGGAGGAGGGGGGAAAGAAGGAGGAAAAGGAAAAGCAGGACGAGGACGGAAAGGGCAAGAGAAGGAGTGGGGGGGGATGATGATGATGATGAGGAGGAGGAGGAGGAGGAGGAGGAGGAGGAGGAGCAGGACCAGGAGCAGGAGCAGGAGCCGGAGCCGGAGAACGGATGGCGAGAGAACGAGGAGGAGAAGAAGGAGGAGAATGAGGAGGAGCAGGGGTCGAAGAAGGAGGACGTGAAGGACGAGGAGGGGGAGGTGGAGGAGGAAGGAGAGGGCGAGACAGAGGAGGGTGAGGAGGGAGCGGACAGATGGCAGCGGGGCGGCCCCGCGCCTTGGCGTTGACTCGTGCTCTGGGAGGCACGGGCCGCCCGAGGATCGCAGGGCAAGTCTTCATCGCAGAACCCCTAACCATTTCAGCAATGAAGATGTGGCCTCACTTGGGCCCCCGTCTTTGCATCGAGGATCGTCAACTTTGGTGGTTTGGCTTGGCACATTTGCAGTCGAGACGCCCCATCTCTCATGTTTTGGGCTCACCTTGGTCCCCTCCCAAGGGACCAGGGGTACTGTCATTACAAATGAAATCTGGCCCCGTAATTCGGCCATCCGATCAGGTGAGGTCGATTCCGTTTGGCTCTGGACCTCTTCGTTTTGAGCGGATGCATGGCTAGACATCCGGCGTCTCGGAAAGTTAGAGACGGCGTTGCCTCACAGTTTTCGGCCTCCCGGCCTCGGGACCGTTAAAAGACAATTCGGGATGAAAATCCGGCCTCGGGGAAGTGGTCGAGAGGTCGAGGGCACGTGTCTCGACAAAGTCGAGACGCTGGATGTATGGGTGCTCGGGTGTACCTCAGAGCTCCGCATGGCGCCCAGGGTTGAAGAATTGAAGGAAAGGTCGACGCAGTCGAGCATAGTCGTTACCATCGAGAGGTCGAAGCGACATAGAGCGAGAGAGAGAGAGAGGAGGAGAGGAGCGGAGAGAGAAGGGAGGAGGGGGAAGAATGAGGGAGGAGATGCAAGCGGAGAGATGATGAAGGGGAAGGGCCAGTTGGTGGACTGTCTGCTGGCACGCCCACGCTGAGCGCCCATCTAGCGCCATTGGAATGCATACGAGGCGATCTCCACGCAGCTGGCGCGCGTCGCATGGGCGGCAAGCGATCATGCTTAGACAATCAAGTCGTACGATGACCGTGCATCGATGCAGTTATGCTGCCGGCATCGGGTGAACGTTTCACCCCTTGCGGAAGTCTTCTGAGCCCAATTGGTTAATTATGATATGTATGCAAAAGGGTATGGGAGCACTGCCTCACCACGTGTGCAAGATGTCATGATGAAACGGAACACAGGCCCAGGCACCCGGCGCAAGGCACGTGCATGCTTGCAGCAGTCGTGCGTCCCCGAGGGCGGGTGGATGATCGACGATGATGCGAAGGAGGAGGAGGAGGAGGAGGAGGAGGAGGAGGAGGAGGAGGAGGAGGGGGATGAGGGAGAAGAGGAGGGAGGAATGAGGGAAGAGGGGGGTAGGGATGCAGGAAATGCAAGAGGTACCCCGGGGGAGTGAGATGCCAAGCCTCCAGATTGGGTCAGATTGGATGTGGTTGGAGGATTGCGCCGCATCGCCGATGCGTGTCGATGTGGAGCCCGACTTTCTCCACGCCGACGTCGCCGATGCGTCGCCGATGCGTCGCCGATGCATCGCCGATGCATTGGCGATGCAGCACGATCCTCCGACCCCACCTGCCTCGGACTCCATCTAGGAGGCCTCCACGGATGGGCGAAGGAAGGGAGGGAGGAGAGATCAGGCTGACAGATGTCGGTCAGCATCGAAAAATGGGCTGGGAGACGGTTGAAGTGCAGAGCAAGGGCAAGGTCGGCGTCAACGCCCAGGCCGGCGCTCCGCTCGCACACTGGCAGAGCCCCCGCCTTGTCCACCGACCTACGGCAGGCTCGCGTCGTGTCGACGCTGCGGCGACGCTGCGGCGACCCGCGAGCGTTCAGGGTTGAATGCCCCCAGTGGCCCAGAATCGGTCAGCATGGAGCGATCGGGCGATCGAAGGGCCGCCGATCGTTCGAGGCTGGACGATCCACGCCATGTCGGACACCGGCGCAGGGGTCGTCGCGACAGGACCTTGCCGTGCCCGTCCGGCTGCCTCGGCTCGCGGGGCGCGAGGAGGGGAGGCGCAGGGAGGGTGAGCGCGGCATGAGGCGGCAGCCGCCAGGCGCGGGCACGCGTGTGAGCGTGCGCACGCCCCTGTCCCGAATCCTGTGGGCGCCCACGTCGTGGGC